GAACAAAAATAAATAGCAAGCATGCCCTGGGCAAGTCTATAGTGCTCCCAGGGTGACAATCTTTAGCTTGGCAAGGGTGTGGTGGACATCTCATGCCAGCTCACTGCTTTGACGGACCTGCAGGTACCATTCAAAATACTTCCTCTGAAACTTCCTTCTAATGTTTCAGCAACTAACAAGAAACTTCTTAGGGAAATCTCTAAGACTTAGAACTGGGATGCATCAAGGTTTTAATCCAGACAGTGTCGGTCCCTGCCAGCCATAGATCTCTGTTTGGGGCCATCGGGCCATTATACATGTACTTTTACTCCTCTGCTTGTGGCTGCTCCACTGCTGAACACACTTGAGGCTCCCTGCGTCTCACTAGATGCTACTAAGCTAAATGCCGTCTGAGCAGGGCTGTGCTGCCCTCTCATGGACATACATACAAAAGTTTAAGTTTCACCCTTCATTCCTTTGCAAGCTGCTTTTTAAGCTACTACTCAAACACTATTTTTTCACATGTGCTTCCTGTGCAGCCAGAAAGCCTTCTGAGCACCTTCTAAAAGGCCTATGAAAACTAACCATTTAAAGTGATTCAAGTTGTGTTGGGCACCTCCCAGTTCTTACCTTTCTGAAGAGCTTTAAATATTTAAGACCTCAGCTGGGTCTGAGGTTTGTTGCTCTAGAAAACAGGCTGAGCTTCCTCCATGTGTCATACTCCCATCCACTACATCATACCGTGTTTAAGGATCTCTACTGAGATAACTCTGTTGTGCTACCAAGGATTTAAACAACAAGCAAAGTCAACACTCTGTGCCACAGAGCTGAAGGCTGGGCTTCGGGACAGACCTCCCATTGCTTTCCGTACGGTGGAGTCTCAGCCAGCTGGCAACACTGTGGTGAAGGAAAACAAAAACATTAATGTAGTGTGCATGGCTACCTACATTACGCAATCCTTCTTGGATATCCTTGCAAAGAGGCAGGATATTATCCTGAACCCAAGGTGATGCTTAAACAAAAATGGGCTCTCTGCCCTGCAATCTCTGCCCTGCAAAGGGACTCCCTTTGCATGTATAGTGTTTATGCAATTTGGGGTCACTTTTAAAAGATTTTTGGCTATCTGATGACCCATTTGCCTGCATTGGTAATATATTAGTCTTCCTAATCTCTACTCATATATCTAAACACCAACAGCTCTTCCTTTTGAGAGACTATTTTTCTTTAGGGACTGATATGACATTAACAAACTATTGTGGTATTCTTGTCTTTATTCACCTTTATCTCCTGTTTTATATTAGAAGATAATCTGAAGGATGGGAAGGAGAAAGGAGAGAGGACACTTCTCTCTTCTCTCAAGCTCCCTAGCTCTAATATGGATCCTGGCTCCTTTTTCATAAATATAATATTTAAGGGCTGGACCAGATAATTCCAAGGGAAAGAAGTGCTTGAAGGCTTATCAATCTACAGTGAAATTTTCAAAAGACTGCCACTCCCTCACGTGCAACTATTTTATTTTTTACTATAACTAACTGTACCAGGTACCTATGCACCTCGATAAGTCTGGCCCTGTGTATTCACATTTTTACCAAATCTCTCTCATTTAAGTAATGAGTGATGATGAACAAGACTTTAATTAGGTCTCACAGTAGATAGCATCATGCAAAAAAAACAAGTGGGTCCATCTCATTTGTCTCATCCCATCCCATTTGTTTCTTCCCTAGTTATTCTGATGAAATTAACGAAATGACATGAATGACATTAATAAAATTAATGAAATGACACCTGCAGGTTCTCCAGTCTTGTGCACTGTGAGTGTAGAAAGCTTTCCCCAGAATCCTTAGCCTTAGGTTATGCCATGTAGATGGCCTTCTTAGTGTCCAGAGGTAAAGGGTGACCTCTTCCCAACTTGGAGGAGAGTTGTATGGGAATTGGGATGATAGATTTGAGGGTGAAAGACTCTTCACTCCTTCCTAACAGGTGTTTCTAATACAGATCAAGCTAAGCAGAATCTGCAGACAGTTTTGCTCTGGCAATATCTGTACAGAAACTTCTCGGGATTGCTTGGGATTGCCTCTCCAACTTCAGATGCCCTCTAGCAAAGTTCCTGCCCATGACTCTTCAATCTTCTCAGGAGAAGATAGTATGAGGCTGTGTTTTCTTCTCCAGAGAAGATAGTATGAGGCTGTTAGCCAACCCATGTTTCCTCAACACCTCAAAGTTTCCCTTTTTATTTTTGTGTGTGCAGGCACAGCCAAGAACTCTTGTTATGCTGCTAAATCAAAGCAGCCCATGAAGGAAGTTCAAAAAAAAAAAAAAAAAAAAAAMMCCCCAAAAAACCCAGCAATGCTGTCACAGATATTGAGAACTAACCAGAAAGGAATATTTCTTTCTTTTTCCTCCCCACAACCCTGTATTTCATCTTATCGTAAGAATGGGCAAGAGAAGCTCCCCCTTGAATACACCCTTCTATGAAGGCAGGCATGTCAAACAGGATCACTTTGCCCTGGTATATCCCTTTCTGGTGCACTCCCACATGCCACAGGCTTCAGCCTGAGCTCGCTCTTTCAAATTCAACTTTTTTTTTTTTTTTTTTGGTCAGACTTTGCCCAGAAGTTAATTTCATCCATTTCAGACATGCAAACCCTGAATAGTCACTGCTGCCAACTGCAAGTTTCTTATGATTGTGAAACTTTGAAATCAGTGGCATTAAACTAGCTTAAAATTGCTGTTACGTAGCAATGATGCATGTCCAGTGAGTCACAATGAAATGCCTCAAGCTCCAAGTGGCTGGCCACCGAAGAGCTGACCTGCTTGTGCCCTCCACCTAACAAAGAAGCACAGCGGAGACTGGGCAAACTTTTCGAAGGATGTTTAATCAGCAATTACAACATTCTTTTGCAATTTGGTTAGAGGTGGTTACACAGGTGACGAGTATTGCTTGGACACCTGAGTCAAGCTCTGCACAGAGATGGCAAAAAAGGAAAGTGATTCAAGACACCGTCTTCAAGGCGAGTACAATTTCTCTGTGGTTAACCCCTCCRAATCCCACTTCTGAGGGAATATAAGGTTCACAACAGAAATAGTCTGTGTGAGTCCAAGCTGTTTGCCAGCTGAGCTGATTATCATGTTTCTGGGTCAGCTCCTGGATCAACAAATCTTGTCTGTGCAAAGCCTGCACTTCCTTGGTGCCCAGCACAATCTACAGAACAAATGCCCTGGGGAACTACAAACCATCTCCAGCTTCCCCACCTACCACTCCATGACCTTTTTCTATCCATTAGAAAAACACAGCGAAACATAGGTGTGGGTAAAARAAAAAGAATACGTCAACAAAGTACGCCGTTAGAAAGAATGCACTTCAGTGCACACACATCTCCCACGCGGAGATGACAAGAGAACAAACAGCAGATGTTTGTCACGTTGCTTAGCACACRACTGGAGAATATTCAAATATACAGTGAATAGCGTGCCATAAGGACTTATATGGAATAGTTTTGGTTACAAACAGTGAACTGTGAATTCCGTCAGAGCACCCAACACAAGAAATTTAATGACAGTTTAATATCATGTTGATAAATCTCCATTTAATGAACAAGCAACATGGATCCATTGGTTTGGGAAAGAAATTATGGAACAGAAATGGTCACTGTGGAATTAAGACTACAGTAAATATTTCTATTTTAAAAGCAACTTTTCTACCTTTCTTTGCTACAAAGGAGCCTACACACACACACAAACACACAGGCACTCACCAGTGATATATTAGTGGTGTAATGTGAGATAGARTTTTTCTAGAATTAAGACTTTTTTCAGCAAAATTTTGAAGAAAATCAAGAAGCACAGCTCTGTTGTATTAGCACAACAKTCTAAGCACAACAGTCTGCAGAGTTTCTGGGGGATGAATTTTCTGTTTTCATAAATTTTATTTTCATAAATTAAGATTTTTTTTTTTTTTTAATGCAGCTCATGATATAATTCAGTCAAGGAAAAAAAAAATCAGAAAGCTCCTGATGGTTTCCCCCGCACTTTCCTGTCGAAGTCCTGATCAGAGCAAAGTCAGTTGTCCACTACATCTGTGAGAGCAGAAGGGCCATCTTTGGCCTACTGTCTTCTCCCACATCACATTATCTACATCTACCTAGAGTGCAGCCACATTTCGTCAGGAGCCACTGCYTCTCATAGGAGAGGGACCTAGATCCTGAGAAATTAAAAGGGCAGCTGCTCCTATGTGCCCTGAAGGAGACACCATACAGCAACTTTGGTAGTATGAGTTAGGGTGGCCAGGCCACCAAAATAGCATTTTTTGCTTCTGAGATAACTAAGAAATGCTGGGTAGGGCTTCTCTTGCAAAATTTCAGCATCTTTGAGAAGAAGGCTATTTTCCAGCTGACTTCATTTACCTGAAAGAGAATTTAAGGAAATCTCCTCACATAACTCCATTAATGCCAACGTGAAGTTGTGGGGATATCCCTGCAGTCTAAGGATGTATCACAACAAACAAAATGCAGCACCCCAAATGATACAAATCTAAGAAATTCAAAGCTAATGCTGTAACCCAAAGTACCTTAATCCTCTTTTACAACAAAAGTCAAGCACATGCCAGCTTCTCCATCTCTTGGAAAATATGTTGGCTAGTGACTACAGACAGGAAAAGGCCTCAGTCAGTAGCTTCATGTGCTATTGATTATCTTGCATTCATCTTACCTTTCTTTATAGACGTGCATTGGCACTTTTCTTGCATTGACAGGGAGTGCATGTAACAAAACTGGTTACAAATTCTTAATCAAATAAATACCAGGCTGAAAAACAATCACCTTTTTTTTTTTTTTTTTTTTTTCTTTTTCCTTTCTCCCATTAAGGGTCCAATTCTTCCATTTGCTGAAGATACTAAGGGCTTTCATAAGCCTCTCAGCTAGGACCTAGCTGCCTAAGTCTGCAGCAAACCCCTTCCGAAGCCCACAAAGATGTTACCTGAATCTTTAGCTATCTTTAGGCTTGCTGTATCTTTAAAACCTGCCTGTTCTTTAACCAGTGACTTAGTTAATCTTTCTTGAGAGTCTTGGACAGAGAGGCAGGTCTTCTCCGACACAGAATTTGTATGCCAAATATTTGCCTAAGTGATTCCCAAACATTTAGGGATCAAATTCTGCTGTGGAGTATCACACAACCTTATTATCAGACTTTTAACTGAAAATAGATAAGTTTCCGTGGCACTTTTTTTCATAGCTTTGGAGACAATCATTTGGGAACATGTTACCATCCATCATGGAATTAGGGCACTTGCCTAAAAAAGAGAAAAGTCTGTGGTGACAGAACAGCTTTCTGGGATCTATTGCACATATGTATGAAATGAAGCCAAAACACAACTCTATTGCAAATTCTTCAGGCGAGAGAGAAGGAAAAGAAAAATAAACYTCCTTTACAGGGTATCCATCCACTTGGATACTATGAAAATAAGGATCATAAGTGCTCTGAGAATTAATGGCAGTTCAAATGACATGTTTGCAAACATACCATAGCTCTCAATTTCCTGGCCTCCCAGCRCTTGTTTTAGGTTTGTTTACTTTTATTCATCTCCCACATTCTGGAGAGACAACATCTTCTGAAGCCACAGAATGCCTGCAACTGTTGCTTTACAGCTCTGTTTATCAAAAATATACACTTACACTTGCAATGATACAGGCAAGGCAACACAAAAAAAAGAAGAAAAAAACACAGGGATGGGTAAGAATGAGACAGCTGGTTGCAGCGTGTGAAAAAGGTACCGAAACAGCAACTTTCTTCAGAGGAGCTCTGGGGGCAGAGGGAGAAGCACAGACCTAGCATCACTCAGGATGGACTTCAAAGTGTTAGACGAGCATTAGCTACTGCATAGCTAATAGAGATTACTTACTAATGGAGATGGTAGCCCATCAAAGCAGCGTGAAAGACAGAGGGCTCTTCCTTGTTTGCCCAGGGCTGCTTTTAAATTCTGGTTGCYTGTATGCTCGTATTGTTTGAGCCAGGTTTCTCCAGACAGAAAAGCGGAGTCTAGAGACAGCCTAAATGTGGAATKTGTGAAAATACACCACAAAAGAATGCAGCAGACCTGCCTTCTCCACATGCGCCATGCACACAGACATATCCACGCGCTCCTTAAGGGTGTTTGTGCATCTAAATCAATATAYAGTTGCAGGGCGTAAGCCCTAGAGCTGGAGGCACAGAACAGAGAATCCAGGCGGCAGAGTCTCAGCAAGCTTGTTCAAAGTCACTTYCACAGACTGCAAAAGCACAGTGCTGGCAAGGCCTCGTGCAACCCCGTGCTAGCAAGGTCGGTAGGGGCCAAAAGGAGCGCACAGGACCTGTCAGAAAAACAACTCCACATCTTCGTCCTCCTCCAACGTCCCCTCCATTTCTGCCTGCCTGGCATTTATCATAGACTGTACCTGGGCAGGAGTAAAAGCAAAAGAGTCATTTTGGGYAGGGGGGGTCTAATACCCTACCACCGGGGCCCAGAAGTGACCTTGCCGTCCCTCTGCAGGCTCTGTGCACCTCAGCACAAGGCAGGCCCAGCAGCTAATCACAGAGGATGTCCTGACTGTTCTGAGGGCATGAAGGAAAGGACTCCCATCCTTTCCCTGGCTTCGCTGCTTCCTTTACCCTCAAACTCCTCTCCAATTCGTTCCCAAAATACTGCTCCCTCCACAGGTTTTGACCTTCCCCTGTTTTAAGGCTCTCCCAGGATCAGCAGAGCTGCTCTCCAGAGCAGGAGTGGGCAGGCAGGAGAGACAACCCATCCCAGTATTGAAGGAGGGAGCTATGGTGGGGAACTGGGACACGGACAGGCCCTTCCCTTGCCTCTCAGATAGAGTACCCTGGGCACATCCATCCCAACCCACCCTGGGCTGCTCCACACAGGCACCCTCCCATACCTCTCCTCCCTCTCCTTTAAGGGCACATGTGGGTCTTTGCACCCCAGGCTCTTTGCCCTGCCTCCCTCCTCCTCCTAAGCGATCAGACACATAGCGAGAGAAATAATCGTGGGTTCACCAGGTTTCCGGCACGCTCGGCAAGGGTGGCTTTCTGCGGCGGCCCTAACACACAGTCCCTGTGGAGCCCCAGCAAGACGCCATACCTGCAGCAACATGAACTGCAAGGGGTCATCGGGCTTCTCATACACCAGTTTTTCTGTGATCTCCTGAGGCAGAGAGAAGCAAAGAACTGTTAGTCCCTAGGAAAGGGGGGTGCTCCTTCTGCTGCAGTGATAGGCAGGAAAGCTGCAGGTAGTGCAGCCTCCTTTCTCCCCTCTTGAGAGCAAGCCTGGGCGTTCTCAGCAGCTAAGCACAAAGATGTCAAGTTCAGTTAAAAGCTATGGCGCATTTGCAAGGTCATAGTTTAAGTCCCCCTTTTTTTTAGATGCACAAGTATTTATGCTTGAGACTTGGAAGAATTAATTTCAAACTAAATCAAAATATTTGTTTCTCTGTTCCTTTTTGCTTTTCTTTATCACATGCCACTACCAAAAAGCAGTGGTACTTCATGAAAAAGCACCGACACTGGGGTAACATTTACTACATCTTACAATTCCTCTTCTCCCCAACATGCCTTTCAGCCCCTGCAGACGCTCAAGTGTCCATTTCTACAGCTTAAGAAAGCACTGGAGGAAGGGACAGCTCACAGGTTAGCTTTGGCCCCCCTTCTCAAGCAAGCTTGTGGGTGGAGAAGGGAAGGGGAATTTTCACCTGAAATATCTGCAGAATATTATGTTTCTCCATGTACCTAAGGGAGACCTCCAAGGGGTCTTCATACACTGTGGGCTGCTCCATTGTGTCACTCGCATTATCTGTTGGCATGAGTACAGACGCTGATGACCGAGCCTCAGGTCCTTCGGCCGTRGCCCCTGCAGATCCAGACGTGCGTATGTTGACTTTGCAATCCGGCGAGTCTCCCACAGAAGGTCTGCTCTGGCGCGTTGCTGATTCAAGCACAGAGCACTTGGTGCCATTGGATGAAGCTTCAGCTTCAGGTGGCCTGTCCTCACAGGTTATTGATTCAGCCAGACAAGATCTTGAACCAGTTTTTGCCAGTTCATCTTCAGGTGGAGGTAATTCCACCACTGGCACATGCTCCCGGAATGCTGATGAATCTCCCTCGTAGGAGTTCTCCGCGGATAAAGGAAATTCCACCACAGGAGACGGGTCCTCAGGCGCTGGCTGTTTCTCGACACCCGTCTCCTCTACAGACTCTGGCACTTCTACCACCGGTGATCGGTCTGCAGAGGACAGCGTTTCACCCACAGACACGTCACCCAGCGATGCCGGCTGYTCGACTATGGGTGCCAGCTCCCCGGAAGGCGCCGCGGCCGGAGCTGTGCCGGGCTCCTGCGCTCCAGCTCCCGGGTTATCACTGGGCGCTGCCTGAAAGAGTGAACAGATAGAGGACAGCTTAACCACGCTGCTTAACCACGCCGCGCTGGACGCATCATGCTGCTGCCCATGGGCAGCGCCGGAGGGAGCGGAGCGGCGCGGGGCGAGCCGCGGGCCCCAGGGCCC